TCCTTTTCCTCAGTCTTCTCTAACACTAACTCTGTGTTAGTTTTTCATGCCGTATCAAACTAGTTACACCCTTGAGCTCGCGCGCATGCACACACACACACACACACGCACACTCGCACACACGCACACGCGCACTCGCGCACACGCGCACACACGCACACGCGCACACACACGCACACACACGCACACACACACACCCAATAACAACAATAAACCCAAAACAGACGCTGAGCTGCAGTATCGGAACCCGGTTTTTCTGTGGATCAGCGGGGATCTTTTATCTTTCCGGGTTTGTCACATGCGCTCTTTATTATTTAAACTGTTGATTTATTACTGATTGTCAGTAACTGTCCCTGTTTTGCTTTCTTCCTGTAAAATAGTGTCGCCGCTCCGAGACGCATGCGTGCGTACGCGCCGTCGCTTTTAAATTACGTCAGTCAATACGTCATTTGAAGGGGCGGAGCTTCGCAAACGCGCGGAAGGCACGTTCTCTAGTCTAGCCTCTAGTTTGGAGAAAGAATGGATGGAATTAAAATAATATTATTTTGTGAAAATTATTTTAATGCGAAAATATATAATTTTATATACTTTTATTATTCAAACAACATTTTATTTTCAGAATACAAATATTTTTATTATTTAATAATAAAAATAATTGTTGAAATTATAAAAAATATTAATGTTATATTAATATTAAAACTATTGTATTATTTTGTATTATTTTATTTAAATATATATATATATATTATTTTATTAATTTATATTAAATTAAAATATTATTTAAAATAATTCAAATAATTATATAATTTAATTAAAACAATTATATTTTTATTTGAATTTTACAATATTATTTGAATTAACAAAATACTTTTACATTTTTTACTTTAATTATAACAAAATGACTAACTAAAATAATTCTGAATTAAAATGATTTTAATTATAAAATAATTCTTTATTGAAAGCATTTGACGTTTTACATTTAAAGGAATATTACAAGAATATTTATCAAAGACAAACAACACAAATACACTCACCAGAACCTTCTATGAATCTTTTCTCAATGTGGAACATTTTCTCCCCCGACATATCCCTGAATCCCTGTCCAACAGTGCTGAAGATCAGAAATGGTTTCATTGTGTGTGTGTATGTATATATACAGTAGTCAACATTTGAAGTGGATCAAAAAAGTTCATAAAAGTTGTCCTAAGACAAGAACACATTTTGGTTTGAAGTTTTAGGACAACTTTGATGAAAGGTTTTGATGCACTTCAAATGTTGACTAGTGTATACTTGAAATATGTTTTCAAGTATGTATATACTTATATGTATTAACACGACACTGTTGATCATGACATTTTGGATGCTTTCACACAGCATTCTTAAACATAGGACATGGAAGTAGGTTGTTTTTCAGTGCAACATATAGTCAAAGAACACACATTTTAAAGGGACAGTTCATTCAAAAATACAAATTCACTCTCTCTCCTGTTGTGACTCCTTCTGTAGAAGACAGTTTGAGAAATAATCACATTTTATTTTGGGTGCACTTATACCTTTAATCTACTAGTGCTTGGAGATTGGTGGTTCCCAAACAGGTTTTATAATAAATAAAAAAAAGCTTAAAAATATGAATAATAAAAAAGAAATATGTGACATATGTGCACTCCTGTTGTGACTCCTTCTGTAGAAGACAGTTTGAGAAATAATCACATTTTATTTTGGGTGCACTTATACCTTTAATCTACTAGTGCTTGGAGATTGGTGGTTCCCAAACAGGTTTTATAATAAATAAAAAAAGCTTAAAAATATGAATAATAAAAAAGAAATATGTGACATACGTGCACATTTACATGTAAGACATTAATAATTCTACATGATATCCATATAATATGAAGAAGAAAACCAGGATACTCACACCAGTTTTGCTTATATACATTTTATTAGGCCACAGATGCATTTGTAGAGGTTTATTTCAAGCATTGTTGTAAACACACAGCAGTACTAGTCACCAATGACAACTAGGTAGGCTACAAATCTCAAACAAACAATTAGTCTCACAAATTACATTTATAAAAAGCTAAACACATCAAAGAGTAAAAACTATATTAGCCTGGGCTAGAACAGGTTATTCTTGTTTGCTCTGCTGTGTGCCTGTAATCATTCAGGCAGAACAGCTCAGACGATTTATCATATTACACAAACTTATGCATTGTTTTGACACTGTTGCAGTTATGAGAACTAATGAATATTCATGTAAACCCCACCCGTTGTATACAAACTGTACTAGTCTCCAATGACAGCTAGGTAGGCTAATCAAATCAAACTATTAAAAATAAAGCCCCTTCATAAATAAAGACACTTCATTACCTGTTCAAAATAATCCATTAAACAAGTAGCGATTTGAGGAGCGTGCACTAATATTTTCAGGTCCATTCGTTTGCATGTTGTTTCAAGGACACGCCCACAACAGGGAAACTAATGACTATTCATGTCAACTCCACCCACTGGAACAGTTTTTCACAGGAACTGAATATTACACAACACCGGTCCGGTCCGGCATTTTCAAAATAAAGGCATGAATTATAAAATAAAATAAAAACACAAAAATCAAATCTAAAATACAATAGAATAAAATAAAAATAAACACCTAAATACAAATAAAATGAAACAAAAAGTAAATAGAATAAAATAAAAATAACTACAAATAAATCTAAAATGAAATGAAATAGAATAACAAATAAAATAAAATAAATAAAATAACAACTAAAATAAAATATAAAATAAAATACAATAAAAAGAAACTAAAAGAAAACAAAATTAAAAAAAATAAAATAGAATAGGATAAAATAAAAACGAAAAAAAAATAAATAAATAAACTAAGAAAATCCCAAATGTGCACTAAAACTCATTTTTAAAAAACCCTGTACTTATATTAACACAATATTGCAGACTAAATGAAAAATGAAAGCTCTAAAATATTAAACAAAGCTCTTTCAAAAGTGTATCAGTAGGTTTGATATTGCTGATGTTTTAAACAGTTAATGCACATACACAGGAATTCAGAGAGGACACAGATACTGTGAGACTGTATAAAAGTTTATTATTTAGTATTTGATGCTAAACAGCACAAAATACTAAACTCTGACACACTGTTTTCAAAAGCCCTGCTTTGGAAAAAAAAAAAGAGATTCAAACATCTCAATAATAAACCAGTTTCATTTCAGCACAATCTTCCACCTTTGAATTCATGCATTCATGTGAATCTGTGTGTTTGTGTAACAGAGAAGATTCTGGATGGATGTGTGTGTGTGTGTGTGTGTGTGTGAGTGAGTGAGTGAGTGAGTGTGTGTGTGTGTGT